GTTCAATCACTGGACCAGACAGGTTCAATCACTGGGCCAGGCAGGTTCAATCACTGGATCAGGCAGTTTCAATCACTGGGCCAGGCAGTTTCAATCACTGGGCCAGGCAGGTTCAATCACTGGGCCAGGCAGTTTCAATCACTGGGCCAGGCAGGTTCAATCACTGGACCAGACAGGTCAATCACTGTATCAGGAAGATCAATCACTGGACCAGGCAGGTCAATCACTGTGTCAGGCAGGTTAAATCACTGTGTCAACAGGTCAATCACTGGGTCAGGCAGGTCAAATAAACTTTCTTTTTCTCATATTCTTTCACGCTCAGTAACCCATTGTATCTTACTGACTTTATTGCCTTACTTGAAGTGAAATGATTAAAAAAGACAGAAATTACACTACATAAAATCGAGTATGAATAATGAAATCTAAATCATCATAGGTTTCACGCTCTGTTCCCTCTATCTTCATATCATAGTTCTCCACAGCTTCCTGTCATTTGTTGCTTTCCATATTACGCTCTCATTTATAATCCTGCTTTGTTTTTGTCCTTGAATAGTATGAAATTCATGCCAGAAAATACCAGAAATCTGAATGGAATTTAATGCCCATAAGGAGACTTTGTTCTTTTGGCGCCAATATATATTGTGCTCGCCCTAAGAGATATCAAAGTAAACTTTGCACTCGGTGTCACACCAGAACAAGGTGTGTGCACCAGGGAGCGTACCCAGAAGGTTACTTCATAGCCACCAAGGGAAAAATAAGGTCTCAAAAGATGTTGACATATAAACAAGCAATCAACAGTTGAACTTAGGTTACAGACGACATACGATAAAGTTCAGATGTTTGAGAGCCGCGAAACATGAACAAATTTAGACATGTGTTTTTGTTACATACCCATTTTGCTACAAAATGTTTATATAAATATTATGAAATGCATGTATGCAATAATATTTATTCATCCCTGGGGTAATAGTTATTGACGTATGCTGTTTTTTAAACTGTTAATCTGTATTGGTTTTAGTTATCACAAAGTACATATATTTATACCAATTGTTTCAAAATCTTGACTGTTGATTGTTTTAAGGAGATCAGCCAACATTTCCACGAGCCGCATATTAAAGGTCAAAGAGCCGTATATGGATTGCAAGCTGCGGTTTGGCCATCCCTGCTATAGACACACACAAGACAATCATATGACTGGAAGATATAAAGGGTGTTCCAATAACTTGGACCATATTTTATATGTGAATTAAGTTTAAGCATCTAATCATTTTTTAAAAAAATTTTCTTTCACATTTAACAACTTAAGTCTTTGGAAATTTCAACTATGGAAAGATTAACAATCAAAGAACGTGTTAAAGTTATCGAAGCCTATTACGAAAATGGACGTTCAAACAGAAATGCATCATCTCTCGAAACAGCGAAGTCAATTGTCCATCACGATCGTGCGACTTGACGCCTTTAGATTTCTTTATTTGGGGTCATCTCTAAAGTAAGGTCTATGCCAACAAGCCAACAACAATTCAATAGCTGAAGGATGAGATAATAAGGCATATTGGTGAGACTGAGGAGCAACTATGCAGAGACGTCATCAAAGATTTTGACCATCGAGTGGAGGTGTGCTGCCAAAGCTTTGGAGAACATTTGGGCGATATTATTTTTCAAACATAATTGCCTTGACTTAAATAACATGATCCAATAGAGAAATAAATAAATTTTCAACAATAACACTGATTTATTTACTGCTGACTTTGATCCATCTTAATGAAACACCATTTATAACTATATACCCACCCAGGTGAAATTTAGAATCCCTCACATCCTCACGGAAGAAGATCAACATTTGAAGAAAGTCCCCAAAAGAACAGTTCCTCACGGTCAAAATTAATCAGTTAGAATTAAAAATAAAAAACAATTTTACGTGTGAGAGATTTAATTTTTCATTCTTAATAAACGTTACTAAAGTAACTGTTATGGGAACTTACCCATAATAATAATAATAATAAGAAGAAGAATAATGGACTATTCCATACTTAATAAATACTGTACCTCTGAACCGACTGCTTGGTTTGAACTCTCTTCCTACGGGCGGGAGGAACCCGAAGGAGGCTACGCCGAAGGGCGGAGTCACCTTCGGGGAGGTAAAACCGGCCCAGAACCTGTTTATACGGGTTCAAATGGGCTATTTTTTGGCCTAGCCTAATGGCTAGGGAATGCCCACGTTATAAAGGCCTTGTGCCACATGACATCCTCGTGTGTGTGTGTGGGGGGGACTGAATATCGTCAGTCTCTCACTTTCTGAGCGACTGTTCGGTTAAACTCTCTTCCTAGGGACGGGAGGAACCCGAAGGAGGCTACGCCGAAGGGCGGAGTCTCCTTCAGGAGGTAAAACCGGCCCTGAACCAGTTTATGCGGGTTCAAATGGGCTATTTTTTGGCCGAGCCTAATGGCTAGGGAATTGCCCACGTTAAAAAGGCATTGTGCCACATGACACCCTCGTTGGGGGCGGGGTGACTGAATATTATCAGTCGCTCACTTTTGAACCGACTGTTCGGTTAAACTCTCTTCCGGACGGACGGGAGGAACCCGAAGGCGGAGTCTGCTTGGGGAGGTAAAGGCTATTTTTGGCTGAGCCTAATGGCTTGAACGCCCACGTTAAAAGGGGCGATGTGGGGGTGACTGAAAAGTCTCCTTGAGCAACTGTTCGGAGTCTCTTCCTACGGGCAGGATGAACCCGAAGGAAAAGGGCGGAGTCTCCTTTGGGGAGGTTGGCCCTGAACCCGTTTATACGGGTTCAAATGGACTATTTTTGGCCGAGCCTAATGGCTGGCTGCCCACGTTAAAAACGCCCATGACAAAAAGGCCTTGTGCTGAATGACGCCCTCGTGGTGAACGGATTGGTGGGGAATGACTGAATATCGTCAGGGTCGTTCAACGAACCCGTTTATGAACCGACTGTTCGGTTTAACGCCCTCTTCCTACGGGCGGGAGAAACCAGTCGAACTCTTGAGCAATTGTTCGGTTCAACTCTCTTCCTACGCCGAAACGCCGAGCGGAGTTCTGAACCCGTTTATTTAAAATGACACGGCCGAGCCTAATGGGGGAACGGTTAAAAAAACTCGGAATATCGTCAGTCCCTGAACCCGTTTAATACGGGCGGGAGGAACCCGGAGGCTACGCCGAAGGATTCTGAAATGGGCATATTTTTGGCCTTGCCCAGGGGCTCGGAATGCCCACGTTAAAAAAGGCCTTCTACCACATGACACCCTCGTGGGGGTGTGACTGAATATCGTTAGTCGTTCAACTCTTGACCGACTGTTCGGTTGAACTCTCTTCCTACGGACGGGAGGAACCCGAAAGAGGCTACGCTGAGGGGCGGATTCTCTTTCGGGGAGGTAAACCGACCCTGAACCTGTTTATACGGGTTCAATGGGCATATTTTTGGCCGAGCCCACGGGCTCGGAGTTCCCACGTCAAAAAGGCCTTGTGCCACATGACGCCCTTGTGGGGGGTGGTGACTGAATATCGTCAGTAGTTCAAGTCGAGTCAAGACAGTGGAATAGTGTTACTGGTCGAGACTACATTGTCCTCTCTACGAAACCTGATTGTTCATACTAACACTTCTACTTCTCTGTATATATTCCTGTTTGTAATATATCTGTGTTATTCTATACCTGTGTTCGAGTTCTTCCTTATTGGTTCTACCTTGGAGTATCACCGTGGTACAAGGAACCGGACCATAACAGTAACATTACTAAGATAAATAAAATGTTATTCGCTTGCTTCTGATCCTCTCGTTTTAGCTGCACCCTGTCAGTGCCCAAGAGCTATCCGAAGTCGAGGATTGCTCTATGGGGTGTATGACATGGACGTAAGACGATGAAGGAGAATGTGAAGATTGCAAAGATATGACGGATAAGTAAGGATTGACCCTAGTCATAAAGAGATTAAGATTGTAGTTTTTGGCGAAATACACAGGTGGGAGAAGTAGCGGTTCGTGTGGAGAAGCTTTCGCCATGGAACGCTTTTCTTATGTACGTGCGGAATGAGGGTGTTTAGGGCGTTAGTAATATCGTGCGTTTCTGTTAGGAAAGACACGTGAAATATCCACAACACAAATGGCGGACTCAGTATGTGAGTCCACATAAATAAATGCTAAAAAACAACAAGAACAAATACATGTACAAACAAATGATAATGTATTAACAAGGAAGGTATACAAGTGATAAAGACAATGATGTGTGTAACAAAAGAGTGTGAAAACCTTTCTGGTACAAAGGATGTGTAGTGAGTGAATGTGTGTACGTACGTGTGTTGTGTGGTTGGTTCAAGCGGTTCACAATGGGAAGCGTGTTTTTCGCGAGAGACTTATATGTTGACGTGTAAGCGAATAAGGTAAGAAGAGGCTACGAAAAGTTATCGCAGTGTATTTATAGTCCGGAGAGCGTCCTCTAGTAGCGGTTTATGAAAGTAGGAGGAATTAACCCTACAATGGTGATTCAATCGCGTGGACGTAGCAAGAGTGGTCTTAAAAAGGTTCTAGCTGGTGATATTAAAGAATGGACATCCTCTGAAAATTTGCCGTTACAAGTAGCGATAGGGTTATGTTGTTGCTTCTGTGGCAAAAAGGTCTGTAGGGTGGAAAATGTAATTTCCCATGAGACCGCGTGAACGGTTTGGGATGTGAAGACTGTTCAATCAGGAAAATATTTTGCATAAACATAAAACCGATGAATCGTAGCTGAAGACAGAAAGATAGAATTAACTTCTAAAATAATGAGAAAAGCCATAACTTAACAAATGTTCGATATTTGTTCAATGCATGAACAATTATGATTTTATATTTGTTATTTATTTCATATTAACCAGAATATATCTTTGTTTATTTTCCCCTTCCAGTTACTTAAATGCTGATGTATTTCGACCGCTGCACTTCCCACTAGATACAGATTTAAAGTCTCAAAAACAGTTTCAACTAAAAGTCAATAATCTTTGCTTTTGAGTATATTTGTCTGTCTTTTTCTTTCTCGCCATTTTCTGTGATACAATCCTCAGGATGCGTCGTCTTCGAGGTAAACAAAAAAGTGATAATGATATTCGAAAATTATATGTGGAGGATGATTACAAAAGCCAAATTGTAATGCGGTGGATGTTGTTTTGCTGAAGAAGTATTTGCGCATGGCAGCTTTCGTGTATTTGCGCATGGCAGCTTTCGTCTTTTGACGAACCAGATATTGATTTTCTTGTTGTTGTTACTGTTGTTGTTCCTTCTTTTGAGTTATCGTTTCTATTCTTATGTCCTATGTTTTGCTTATACACACACACACACACACACACACACACACACACACACACACACACACACATATATATATATATATATATATTTATAAATCGTGGTACTCGTTTGTAAAACCCTCGGATAGCTTAATTTGTAGTAGAATAAATCAGTACCCGAGGAAAAATTGGAAATAAAAAAAGAAAGAACCAAGAACATTAAAACAAGGCGAAGACAATCGTCAAGTGTTTAAGCTCCAAGTCCTGAAGATACCTAAGCTACCCTGAAGATCCATTTAGGTGAAACCTAGGTAGTTTTGCCTCGCTCCTTAGAATTACTTTATATATATATAAAGAAGGAGGGAGAAGAAGAGGATTCACACCTTTCCCAAGGGTATTAGCATGTAAGTGAATGTAATGGATTCGACTGGAATTCGAACTCGGCTCTGCGATTCCTCAATCCAAGCCGCTATCCATTATCCGCTCTCTCTCGCTCTCTCTCTCTCTCTCTCTCTCTCTCTCTCTCTCTATATATATATATATATATATATATATATATATATATATATATATATATATAATATAAAAAGGCTTAAACACTAATATTCCATGGTCATAATTTGTTCCATTGGAATCGTAAATACGATCCAATTCATCAGACCTACAAATTCAAAAAGATTTTTATTATATCCTTACTCTGTCCTGGACATTGAGTTCTACCTGGATTCTATCCTCTTGGAATTTTTATTCAAAAAATATACATGTATGTGTATGCACCTATGTATATATTTATATATTTTGCATATGTATGTGTATATTTACCACTAATATTATCTATCTATCTATCTATCTATCTATCTATCTATCTATCTCTCTCTCTATCTCTCTCTATATATATATATATATATATATATATATATATATATATACATATTTATATATATACAAGTTAACGTGTTGAATATATATATATATATATATATATATATATATATATATATATATATATATTTCTCCAAAACGTAATTGCTCTCATTTAGCCACAAGAGACAATTCCCTGTCCACCATTAGTATGGTCGATGCTGGATTTCAGGAGAGTGTCTTTCTGTGCCTTCTTGGTCTTACGCTTTCGAATGTCTTGTGGTGGAACAACTACATTGAATCAATAGCTGCATCTGCTGCAAGGAAAGTTGGCTCATTGTGTCGTGCCAGAAGGTCACGAGTCCATCTTACATATTTACAAATCTACCATTCGTCCATGCATTGAATACTATTGCCATATCTGTTCTGGTGCACCAGCTGTTCATCTCAAGGTTCTCGACAAAATCCAAAAAAGGACCCGCAATGCAATCGAACATCTCGACCCCAGTCACTTTCTCACTGACGCGATGTGGCTTCCCTTTGTCTTTTCTACAAATATTTCCATAGCTATTGTTCTGTCGAGGTTTTTTTTTTTTTCTTTTTTTTTTACTATGTTGCCCCGACTACATAAACTTAAGCGTGCTAATAAACTGGCATCTTGGTCCTACCCTCTTAACGTTGAAATAGTTAAATGTAACTGTTACAGTTTTTTGTGTATATGTATGTAACTAGTGAGTTAGTCAAACTGACTTAACTCCCTTTATAGTCTACCAATAGAAGTTTAACCAATCAGAAGCCGCAGGACATTGTATCCGTCGTGTATAAAGGCGGCCATTTTTGTTTACCCTACCCGAATGACAAGTGCCAACTTGTCAGGCGAAGATGACAGAAGGAAGTAACACACACTGCTACTTTGCTGCGATATCCACTGCTAACCTGAACTACGCTTTCCTACTGTCTCCGAAATATTCACTGCTAACCTCTGGATTCTATACTCGAGGACGACCGTCATGAATTTATAACAGTAACCGCCGCTTCTACTTCAACAGATCTTTTTCTCGCACTTCCAGCCTGTGGAACTTTTGTTTACTTGCTTCCCTGATAATTATAATCTTCAAAAATTTAAATGCAACGTCAATCGCCATTTTCTGATGTTTTGAACCCAGTTCATCTTTTATCTTTTCCTCATTCCTGCTATACACAGTTTTTTTTCTCTCACCTTCACTCTATGAAAACCTTTGCAAACCAGTGGCATTCCCGTCTTGCTTGAGATGAAATGCTTAAAAAATACTATAATAATATACTAAACAAATAATACCATACCTAAAAAACCCCCAAAAAACCCCAAAAACTAAATGAAATTATTATTTGAACTAATACTACCACTATCTGTAAACAGAAAACACCATTCAGAAATGTTTTAAATAGATTTTGAACATTGGATCGTATAATTTTTTCTGGTTTATATACAAAATCCATCGAAAGGCTTCATTTATTGTGTGCTGCTTATGAGCGATTTAAGTGAAGTTACACATGTAGATAATTTTCTTTAAGGTAGATCACATATTTTAGAAGACTCATGCACGCAGATTACATACTTAAGTAGCATTGGATTATCCTATCCTAACGAGTGGTATATCTGCGAAACGTATACTCGAAAGCTATCTATCTATCTATCTATCTATCTATCTATCTATCTATCTATCTATCTATCTATCTATCTATCTATCTCGGTCTATTAATATCTATCTATTTATCTATTTCAGTACCTTCGTTTTTATTTTATTCATTATCTATCTATCTATCTATCTATCTATCTATCTATCTATCTATCTATGAGGAGGTGCTGAAAAATTCTAGGTTCGATGTACTTTCCAAATATTGACGAAATGGCAGAATATTTGAACTTTGCGGACAAGAACTTCTCAGACCGAGGATTTTTCGTCACCCTTTTGTATACGATCTTGTCATCTCTTGGTTATTCAGTCTCTCAAACAAGTAAATATATTTGAAGGTGTGTAGGTAGGTCGGTAGATAGCTGTGCAGGTGTAAAGTGACAGACGATTAAGAATCTGATTATAAATTCAGGTGAGAATTTCCATGAAGAAGACGAGCGTGTCGGAGAACGCGAGGCTGGGCCTAAATTGATGTGTAGCCCGGATGCAGACGTTTACCGAGACAATGCTGCAGGCACATGACAGGTGATAGTCATCTCATTGATTTAGGTGTAATATGCCTCAGGTGAGAGACGAATCAAAGCAACTCACACACGGTATTCGGTCTTAGAAATCTTACACGTGGCAACATCTTTTATGAAATTACAGTTCAAATAACACGATGTTATATCGACCATTTTTAGAAGTCTTTGCCATTTCAGATTGTTGCTGTCTTCAGCTTTCTTGAATCTTGTATTTTTGAGCACTGATGTCTAACGATATAAAAATAAGTGGTCATCAATATATATATATATATATATATATAACAATTGGAAAACGTTTATGAAAGTAGATTTCTTTCTAAATATATCCGATAATGCTTTTCGCCATCTAAGGCTTCATCAGATCTGAGAGCGAAAAGGAAAGAAATGAAATGCGTGTATGTTTATTTATATATGTTTAGATAATGAAATCTGATTATTTTTCCCCAAGCTGGCGTTTCTCGTCAGTAAAAATGAAAGAAATTTTGTCGGGATTCCCAGGCCAGTGGGTGGAGGGTAGGTGCAATCTATGTTTACACGAAAATTTTTTCATCCTAAAAAAATATTAATAATTCGAATCTAAATAAACGGAATCATCTTCTGTCTAGCTGTATACACAGAAAGATGTTTCTCTTAAAAATATTGTAATCCTGGATAACCAACTTTTCGTCTAAATTTAATTTAAAATTTTAATTTTCCGCTCGCCCTAATTTTAGCTCATACACTGGTTAACTCCCTTTAACGAATCAAATGATTTTTACGAACAGCCTCTGTCGCTCAAATTTTAAATTTTACGCATATTTCAATTCCCCCCCCTTTTCTCTCTCTCTTTTTTTATTGACTCATACGTGCACCTCATTTCCCGAACTTTAACCCCAGTATTGTTTTAGTACTATTTTTCTACTATTTTGATTTTGAACTATGAACCAGCGTCCATCCCATGAACATCAATATATATATATATATTTTAAATAAACAATAAGCTATATCTTGTGTCCGACGAGTTGGGTAACCAACAAAACTTAGGTCGCACGCCAAACGTAGGTATATGTGTATGTATATATTACCTTTTAACTTGCCCTCTAGCTAGATAGAATATTGTATGTAAAGATGAAATGGTATTGTAAGTCTGTAAAAAAACTGTCCATAAGTTTCCGATTATTAATGTTTGTGCAATTTTGACGGGTAGTTTGCGTTGTCTCTGTAGTTATGTTGGAAGATTGAATCTTAATGAATCTGTTTTCGTTCGTATATTTGCGTGCATATATATCCGATCACATTTATGTGTTTGTCTATTATGGCGTAATGTTTGTATGTCTAGTCACAAATAAACCTTTCTCCCTAGTCCACTAAACCTATCATCACGATCCTGTCAATGTAACTGACTATGTAGCCATATATTGTACCTCTTACTATTGCTCAGATTCGGACGAAAAATTTAGCCTATTTCTAAGAACAATACGTGAAAGTTTAGACATATTTTCTCCATTTTTTTCTTTGAATAATTTTGTTAGTTTTTAACATGATGCATGGTTACATTTAGAGTTTGATGCGCATAGCTCTTTTTTTTTAATTGCAAAATATTGGAGATTATATTGTTTATTATGATTTCCATTTAAAATATAATTCTTTAAAACATTAATAATTGTATCTAGGTTCCGTTATATACTTGTAATTTGATTGGCCACTTACATCTTATGCAAATGAGAGTGATAGTGATTGTTTTTGACCTCTTTAGAACCTTTTATTTTTTACTTGCAACACCATCACTAGACAAGAGACCAAAAGTTTTGAAACAAAATGACTATTTTTGTAGTGATTTTATAACATACTTATGTTATAATATATATATATAAAAATAAGAACTAATGCAGCAGAAATTTATAGAAACAAGGATCGTTTCATTCATAACAGGTTCGGAGGTTTTTGTATATTATTTGAATTGTTTGCGACGATGGATATCTCGCCAATTAAATCATTAACCTTTGCATTTGTTTTTGTGTGAATAATTCATGAATATATATATATATATATATATATATATATATATATATATATATATATATATATATGTGTGTGTGTGTGTGTGTGTGTGAAAATATATAGAAAATAGGAAGGAACGGGTTAGGTAAATAATCCAAAGTTCCTTAGTATTTTAGTTATTTTTTTAAAAAAATAGTGCTCGATACAAAAGTAGAGCATAAATATAATTATTTATTTAAAAATATGATTCCAACTCGCGACATAAGAGGTCTCATGTTTCAAAACAAGCCGAAAACTTCAATATAATTATTTTAATTCAATTTAGTTAAAATAATTATATTCTGTTTTCCTTCTTTGAAACATGAAACCTTTTATGAACAGAGTTGAATCATATTTTTAAATAATTATATATATATATATATATATATATATATATATATATATATATATATATATGTGTGTGTGTGTGTGTGTGTGTGTGTGTGTGTGTGTGTGTGTGTGTGTGTGTGTGCGCTGAAGCAATCGCTTGTCTAGCCACACTGATGAGCTGTGATTTGTGGTTGACTATATACACTCCCTTTCGTGGATAGAGCACTTTTAACCTCTGACCAGGGTTGGCATTCGTTTGTTATACAAAACTGAAATTCTTACACTTAATTAACTACTCCCATTTTCGCACATTTATTCGAGTATATTGCATTACAAAAAATATGCGATATTGACGCAGACTAAGTTTGTTTACGAGCGTCAGCAATAAAACAGCACAACCGCTTATTCATGTTGCCGACTGCTACAATTTATACACATACATAAAACAACATACTTTCATGTCAAACACATTCTCACATGTAGACACATTCTGTTTTCTTCTAGACTAAGGCAATTGATTCGGTTGTAGTGGAATAAAGAATAGACAAAATGCATTGTGTGAAGTTGTTTCGCAAAGAATCTTTATAATTCATTTCTTTGAAAGAAAAATAATACTCAGGTAATAAAATAATATTATTATTTGTAGAGCCGTGTTGAAGATTAACTTATTTTTTCGTTTTATCCACACATATTTCTCTACATATATATTCGTATCCACGTGCATACCAACACATACACACACACACACACACACAGAGAGAGAGAGAGAGAGAGAGAGAGAGAGAGAGAGAGAGAGAGAGAGAGAGATTGCACTGTGGCAATGATTAATAGATTTTCGTTTGGCACATCTCTTTTTACTGTGTTGTTAGTTTTTTATTACGAGCCTCCATTTTTCGCTGGAAAAACAGCATAGCATGGTGAAAAAATGCTCCAAACTTAATAAAAACAAAGTTTTATTGTCAAAATGTTTATGTTATTATTAAGAGTATCGAAGTATTTTTTATTAAATTTTTCAATCTTTGTAGAACGTTCAAAATTTTGGTTAAAAATCTTGATTTTTTGTGTTAATGGTCCACGTAATATTTACGATTAGTGTTTTAGCGAAAAGCACATTGATTTGGATATCCTTGCAAAAAGCAAATAATTTTCGGATTTTAACGTAACTTTCAGGAGTTATTTATAAATGAATGAAATTATTATTATTATTATTTTTTTTTTTTTTTAGAAAATCTTCGTAAAAACATCTTTTTCTACGTATGTTACCCTCCATTTACTTAATTTCATGAAATTTTGGGAAATTAAATTTTCATCCGAAAATTTCTTTTATTAGTAAAAAACAGAACTCCTTGGTGCAGGTAAATCAAAAGTTTCTTTTTCAAACTACTACTAAATTGAAAAGCTTAATACAATTATCATTTTGCACCAAGATTTTACAAATAATTTTTTTATGTATATAAAATATTATGTAACAAAAGAAAGTATGGTTGACCATACACGGCATTATCAGAAAATAAGAGCGATGGCTATAGTAAATCTAATCTCAACATCCCTAAAATTACAAAATTTACAAAATTTTTAAGGTTACCGAGTACTTAAAATTATATAAAAAAGGGCTCACCGGTCATTCAACAGATAAATTTTAAGAGATAAATTTCCGTAGAACAACAATAAACATTTCAACACATCAGCACCTGGCATAGCTCATTAACTTCATAAGAATGTCTGCTGTCGGTTAAAATTGCCGCTACTCTTTGGTTTAAAGCTTCCGCGAACACTGTCCTCCGCGCCCCCGAGAAGGTGGGGCGCCGAGGGCGTAGGAAGCGCCGCGTGGATCGTCCGACGAGAAGAAACCGGTTCGCCACGTGTAACGGATCGAGTTTTCGTTTCCTTACGGCATTACCTTCTAAGGCGCATTATGGGCGTCCGGCGACCGCGAACGGAGGCCGGCCAGCCGCTTCGCTTCGACGGATATTACGTAGATGTGTGATTTCAAAGAATACTCATTGTCACTTTCGTAATGCTGGTTGTAGTAGAGACCTTGTAATCATAGATACAATTTATAGTAATGCCGTTGAACAATACTGGTGTCAGATGCCTTCGAATATCACTCGCACTAATAGTACTTGCTCGTTAATACTCGTTCGAAAATTAACCACCGAATAGTAATCCGTATAGTAATCACTTAGACGCTACGCTAATTCCCATATATACATTTCCTTTACCAACACGTGATCTAATTATTGAAAATGGGATCGCCTGTTTTTGCTCTCTGGTGTTCTGTGTTCAAACTCCAGTGTCGACAGAGACACTTTATTCCTATATAACGCGCACTTGCAATATTGTAATGACAGATCATCTTTGCAGCGACCGCTGAATAAATTTGTAAGCTGCTGTGAAGGGACATTATTTTAACGTGTGACTATTTTTCTGGTCAAGTGTCGGAGCGGATCATGGTTTAAAGCACTTGAAACAGTGTGACACAGAAATCCGAAGACACATAATAGCGAAAAGATGATTTCTATGAATTAAGCACAATATTAAGCGACAGGAAAATTTTACTGGAAACAAAGATAAAACTCAACTCTTATCTCCTATCAATCTTTTCAACTCTTATCTCCTATCAATCTTTCTCTATAGCGGTGAATACTGGAGAATTTCTCCACAGTTGAAGAAGAATCTTGAGGCAACAGAAATGTGGTTCTACAGAAAGAAGCTGAAAATATCATGGATGGAGCATGCGAGCAATAAGGAAAAAAAATTAAGGAAAAGGGGAACGGAAAAGACACATGCTTAGGATCGGAAAGAGACAGTTGATATTTCTGGGACACCGGATGAGGAAAAGAAGCTTGGAGAATATGACACTCATTTGACATATTAAGGGCAAGATAGGCGACGAAAACATACCTAACGAATTTGTATAAATGTATGACAGAACAGTGGAAAGGATATTAAGAGATCAAACATTGCATAGGGTGTTGTGGAGTTATTTTTGCAGTGGAGGCTTGTATTTGTATTAAGTCGGTCTTAAAATAGGTTCGACGTACAAAACGTTAGGAACTTGATATAATAAGTATTACGCAGAGTAATATAGTTGTGGTTGCTGATACTTTCGCATTCGACTAACTGTCGTCCGATATCGACTGACTGACTCCCGTTTCTATTACTACTCCTACTTATATTAGGTGGGAGAGTCTATTAGCTATAGAATAGGTGTGTTTCCCCATAACAAAGGGATAGGAAATTTTGGAAAGCTATCATCATTGACGTCCTGAAGGTAAATAGCACATAAAAGGAGAAGGAACAATGAAAATTTAATGCATCAGTGTCGGAGACAGATATGATCACCCAGGGCCAAATTTAGGTCTTAACAGGCCCCTGGGTTAATAGAATTTGGGGACCCACTTCATTACGCATGACCCACTCGCCCCGTGTCTATATAAAAAAAAAATATATTTTTAGATGACACTTTTTTGAAAAACATGAAACAATTCAATATTTACACTTTTACATTGTTTGGACTATTTCATTCACGACGCTTCAGTCGTTGTACGATCCGGCATTCTTCAGGTGATATTGGAATTTCGAACAGAACCCTTTATTTAATCCATTGATGTAGATTGTTCTAATTCAACCTACCATAACTTCAGAGATAAGCAAAGATATGGTACATGGAATTAGAAAAGTCTACTCCCATGGACGAAATCAGATAATGACTTGTATCAAAGTTAGAAATCAAATACTGAGATATAGTGGGAAAATAATTTTAGACTAAATAAATTTAACTTTTTTTTTTATTTGTTTGCAACGAAGGTTTTGATTAAATCATCAGAAGAAATTTCCGCAGTTTATCCCTCATATAAAATCCTGTTCTTATATCTCTATGTTTTTTAGATGTTCTTAGATCTTTATTATTTTTAGATTTATCGGGGGTCCTTGGGAGCCTCTCTGGCCCTGGGTTATTCTGGGCCCCTCTGGCCCAGAAGGCCCAGGTCCATACTAGTCTATGTGTAAATCCGGCTCTGTTCCTATCACTTATGGTATCTATGGAAATGATGACGCAGTTTTCTGTTATCAGTGAACAATTCGTATAACAAATTATGAAAGCTTCTTCCTTTCTTATTGCGATGAATTTTATTAGGTTATTTTAGTATGGTTCAAAATTCAATAAAACTGAATGTAATGAAATTCTTTTTCTTTCCCTTTTTTTTAGAAAGAATAATTTTTTTGGAAGTAATAAAATTGTAATGAAATGAAAAATAAAAGCGCTTCTTCTATTGTTGACAGTATTTGTTGGAAAAATGCGATCCCTTTTGCTGTTATGAATGGGCAGTAGAACAACAAAATATTAACATTTACTTTATTATGACAACGGATTTTATTTAACTAATTTTTTTTTTATCTCAGTACGGCTCAAATTTTAATAACACGTTAGTTACAATATTTAATGTGTTAAAAACTATTTTCTTTCTAAAATAATTCTCTTAGAAATAATGAACTAAATGCAACAACAACAAAATCAAAAAATAAAACGAAACAAGAATAAAACACACAAAAAAACAATTCCTTTTACTGATTTTATTTGCTGGAAAGATATCATTCCCTCTTTTGTGGTATGGATGGACATTAGAATAATAATTTTTTGAAAACCATTTTATCCTAAATAAGGCAATAAAGCCATTAGGACGCAAGGTGTTACAGAGTGTTAGAGACTCTAAGAAAAACTACTATAGAGAGAGGACAATAAAAGAAAAAGAATTAAGAAGACAGAAGGTAACAATTGGATGTAAATTTTTGAAGATCAAAGTTGACTGAGAAGCAAGAAGCCGGAAGAGAGTTAGTTCCACAAGCGAGAAATGCGATAGAAGAAACTGTTAGCATAGAACCTGCGGTTACATCTTGCAATTAAGAATGATGAAACTTTGCCGCCAGTCTAGTACTGTTTTTAAATTCATAAAGTCTAGGTATGATAGCAGAAAGTTCATCAGAAAAATTCCCAAGAAATTATTTACAAAAAAAAAAAAAAAAGCACAGAGAAGCTACATTAAGTTCTTATGCCTTGTAAGGGATAAAGTGCGGAAATTTCTTTTGATGATTTAATAAAATACTTTGTTGAAAACAAATCAAAAAATGCTAATTTATTTTTTATAACTGTGATAAACGTTTTTGTCAATTTAGTTCAGTTACGTGTCATGTTTAGACGATCATGCATCTTTCGATACATAATTGAGAAGGTAGATTTTTTCCCGCTGTAGGTTGCCATTTTTTTCTGCCAAAGCTATCTATAGAACCTGGTCCGTCCTGCTATTTACCCATATTTGTGGGGTGAGAGAAGAAGAGGTTTCATACCTTTCCCATTGGTATTTCTACGTAAGTGAATGTAACGGATTCGACTGGAATTCGAACTCGGCTCTCCGATTCCTCAATCCAAGCCGCTATCCATTACTCCAGCATGCCTCCTTTTGTCAGTACAATTCAGAATTAAATATAAGACCAAAGGCAATGTTTTAATTTTTGTTTGTACTTTTGGGAAGAACGATATTCTTTCTACTTCATTTGCAGACATTCTTGACCAAAGAATTTCTGTTGTTATAATCGCAGATACCATATATATATTATCCACAGACAGACTGTTTCTCTGTATCACAGCTCATCAGTGCGGCTAGACGTTCGGTTGCCTCTAGCTAGGATCGAAACCAGACTGAATTGGCATCAGTCGTGGATTCTACCACTAAGCCGTTGACGTACGGCAGGGATGAAGGTGAATTTAAGCTTATTTATTTTTAGATAAATTCGATTCGATTTACCGAAGAGTCTTGCATTATTAGCCGTAATAGTCACTGTTTACAAACACGCACTTCCTCCCCAGAGAGCTCAACCGAAATAAATTTTTCAGGAGCATATATATTGTCATCCATAGACAGAGTGTTTCGCTATATCACAGCTCATCAGTGTGGCTAGACGTCCGGTTGCCTCTAGCTAGGATCGTAACCCGACTGAATTGGCATCAGTCGTGGATTCTACCACTAAACCGTTGACGTACGGCAGGGACGGCTTATTTATTTTTAGATAAATTCGATTCGAAAGTGAATTTAAGCTCAACCGAAATAAATTTTTCAGGAGCATATATATTGTCATCCATATTTCATTTCTTAGGATAAACGTGGATTCTACCACTAAGTGGTTGGCGCACGGCATGGAGAAAGTGAATTTAAGCGTATTTATTTTTTGATACAGTTAGAGAACTCGATTTGATTTACCGATATGTGTGTGTGTGTGTGTGTGTGTGTGTGTGACCTAAAAGTAGCCGAAATTGCTAGGAGAATTCGTGAAGTGGAAAAACATCAAACAATATCTGACTGAATTCTTCGAAACTGTTTTAATCGTTTTTAAAAGGAAGTTTGTCCTTTGAAATAAAGCCGGGAAATGGGCGATCATTGGTTGATGATTATGATGCATCCAAATGCAAAGTAGACCAGATTCTATCCAGTGGCATTCGAAAACTTGCAGAGGAGCTTGGATCCTCGAAAGATATTATACTTAAAGCATTTCATAAACTTCAACATTTTTAAGCTCTAGTAAAACGAAAAACAAGTGTTGTCTATTTATTTTATGTAAATTCTTTTCATAAAGTCTGATAAGTTTATAAAATTATCTAGTAAAACGAAAAACCGTTGAGCATGATAATATAAAAAAAAATTGACAAATAAAACTAAAACTTAACTAAACAAACGGTTAATAAAATAAACTGGACAATTGGAATAACAATCAAGCAAATGTTTTGAAACATTTATATATTATATATATATATATATATATATATATATATATTATATAATATTAAATAATATAGACAAGTGTTGTCTATTTATTTTATGTAAATTCTTTTCATAACGTCTGATAAGCTTAATAAAATTATCATTAAACGAAGAAAGAAAATCACAATATTGATCCATATTTTTTTAATCCAATCTAAGCTTTCGGCTTACA